ACCTACTACAGGGGTTTGGGTGGGTAAGGGGTGGGCAGGTGGACTACTCATATGCGGGATGGGAAGGAGATACTTAGAAGCAGGGCAGTGGAGAATCTGACAAGCTTAGCGGATGTATTTCTGAAAGAGAGGTCTCTTCTGGGCATCCCACCCACCGTGAACATGCTACAGCCCACCTTCTCCGATTTCTTGATGTTTGACTCTTTCCCAAACCAAAACACTTTTCCAATCCCACATCTGTTCCATAGGTGCTACTTAATCCTGGTCGCAGCTTCACTTTCTCACATCCCCATTCCACTGCATTCAAGGCCCCCTCCCCATTGAGTGGTCACTTTCTGTTAGTGTTGCTCCCGTGGCCCAGCCATCACAGCCTGCTGTTGGACGCTGTTCTTAATCTGTGCAGCTTCATTGTGAAGTTCAGAAGTCTGTAACTAGCCAGGTTGGGTGCTGTTTGATCCAGGGGAGGGGCGGGGAAGGAGGCATGCTGTGTGGGAATCATTGGGGGGAGGAGGAAGAGGGTCTGGAAAATTAGGGGGAAACGGTGTGGCAGGAGAAAGAGAGAGATGGAAAAAGTGCCTCACATGTTGATGATCTTCAGTTGGGCAGGGAGGGGTATTTTTCATACCAAAAGACTAAGCATGCACGCCAAAAATAAGGGGTTTTTTAATGCATAATTTGTAGGGTGGAAGAGAGTAGAGAAGGAAGAAGAAGGGCCAGGATTCAGAGTGGTGTGCGGAGGAAAATACTTAATATGGGCCCAATCCACCGCAATTTTCTGCTGCACAAGCTCTGTTGAATGAATAAGAGAAACAAGCACACAGATCTTTCTCAGCCCCCCACCTGATACCTTCCAGATGTGCTGGGTTTCCACACCCATTATCCTTAGCTAGCCCAGCCTGGGAATAATGGGTACAGGGGCTTAGGTTGGATGGGGAGACTTCTGTGGGGTGCTGTGGGCTTCATCCTCGCTCAGGATGGTGCTGGGCAAAAAACCCACAGGTTATATTCTGATTCCTTGCCTTCACCAGAAGGAACATGTGACAAAGAAGAATCTCCCAGATCTGATGGTTTGCTGGCTTAAAGTGGAGAAATGGAATTGGGTGGAGAGGAAGAAAAGCAGTTCCTTAATCAAAGGAGAAAGGTAGCCATAAATCCATAAGGGCCTGGCGGGGGGGGGGGGGGGAATGGGGCACTTGGTGTGAGGGGATTTTGAGGTGCAGGGGAGTAAAGTACGGGCACCCCCCATAATGTCTGATGTGTGTGTGGTTCTACATCTGTTTCACTCGTCAATTGGTGGCTCTGCCTACTTTGGTGTGTGTTTGTGTTGCAACAGG